TGGAGTTACAGACAGTTGTTAGCTGCCATGTGGGTGCTGGGATATGAACCCCAGTCTTCTGCAAGAACAACCAGTGTTCTTAACCACTGAGCCATCTCTCCAGCCCTCCTTTTTTTTTTTAATTTTATGTGTATGAGTGTTTTACCTGCATATATGTAAAGAGCACCCATGCCACGCAATGCCCACAGAGGCCAGAAGAGGGTGGCAGATCCCCTAGAACTGGAGTTATGGACAGTTGTTAGCGACCGGGTGAGTGTTAGGAACCAAACCCAGGTTCTTTGCAAGAGCAATACATTCCCTTAACTGCTGAGCTCTCTTATTTTTGTATGCATGGATGAGTGGTATATGTATGTGTGTACATGTCCATGCATGCATGTGCTGAGGTCAGAGGAGGACATCAGATGTTCTGCTCTGTCAGTCTCCACTTTATTCCTGTCAGACGGTGAGAGAGAACCTGGAACTCAGTTTTTTTCCCAGCTAGCCAAGCTGGCCAGCAAGCCCCAGGGACTCTGTCCCTATCCCCTGCAGCACTAGGGTTACAGCACTCAGGCCACACAGGGCCTTTACATCTGCAGGGCAAATTCTTATCCACTGAGTCATCTCTCTAGCCCCTTCTGTCTTTTCAAAAAGAAATTTGTTACCTCGAAATCAACTCAAGATACCATACAGTTCACCCATTTGAAGCACAGAACTCAACAGTTTTTAGAGTTTTCAGTTATGTAAATATTACAATCAAGTTTAGAACATTTTCATCATCACCTCTTCCTCAAACGCATATCCATAAGCAGTTAGCACTTAAGTCAACAAACCAAATAATATATCGGAAACAAATATCTTTAGTGGCAATAGACAATTCTGGTGGAAATAGGTGACTGTTAAGATCCTTGTGGCCCCTTCTGTATTTTATGTTTATAAAACAAAAGTAAGAAACCTATAAAACAAACACTGAGTGTTTTTTAAAGAGGTTGATATGGAAAACATGTTTGCCTGGGAAAAAAGACTTGCATAATAAATAAAAATGCCTATATCTAAATAGATTACTGGCCAGGCATAGTGCCACATACCTGTAACCCCAGTACTGGAGAGACAGAGGCAGGAGGGCCACAAGTTCAAGGCCATAATTCTCTGTCTCAAAAGCAAAACCAATATATTATGAGTTTAAATGTCATCAAAATACTGCTTTATTGAACACTATTACAACCAGAGGAGAAAAACTGACAGATCAATCAAAAGCCTCATAAAATGGGTAACAAAACCGTTTAGCACAGTACCTGGGGTCACCGTTAGGTAGGCCTCCATACTTTTACGCTTGTGAGCTACAGTGGCAGCAACACAGCGGTAATTCCCAGCATCCACCGGGCCAGCGTCATAGATCTGCAACACTCCAGATGGCAGGGCAGTTATCCTGTTGTACAAGAAACATAATTGAACTTTTTCTGTGGATTATATATTTTACTTGACATATCTGCTAACAGGAATCAAACCTTCTTATTATGCTAGAAACAATACTTTAAAGTCTTGGGCTGGGGGTGTGGGGTAGTGGTAGGGCACTTGAGCGGTGTGCAGGGACTCTGGGTTCAATCCCCAGCACTGAGAAACAATAATGGCAACATTAGCTTGATTCTATTGTTCTCCTGTGTCATGACAGGTGTCTTAAATGTAAATAATTCTGCCATACACGATTTGTGAAATCCAGCAGTCTCATTTTATACAGGGGATCTCATTAACATTCATTAATCTCATTGTTTCAACTAATGGCTCAGAGCTTATTTTGGTATATTTTCAAAATCCTGACTATAAAGAACTAATTAATAGCTATATATTCTTGATAACCTTGTTCCGAAAACTGGGTCCAACCCCAACGAGGGTCACATAACTGAATGTGGAAGTCACAAAAAAATCTGGCAACAGTAAAAGTTTTTATATGCAGAACAAAACCAGTTCAAAATAAAATACACAATGAAGCTGAGCTGTTCCTGGCAGTGAGTCACCTGCCTTCACTACAGCCTTGGTTCTGAACACACATGTACCCTGTACACTGTGAGTGCTAGCATGCCACAGGGCACCACTGAAGGCTGCCTGAAACACCTCAGCTCATGTTCAAGACTACTGTATGTTGTGACTATAGTGTTTTTACTGAAAATACAGTTTTCTGCTCTTAAAGAAAAATAGTGGTCTAATTATGGGAAACAAAGATAATTTCTCTGCATATAATTATCAAATTAATATATTTTTGGATTGCACTGTGTTACAATGTTTGATCTTGTGTTTCTTAACAAAACTGTTAAAGTGAGCTGGGTGTGGTAGTGCACACCTTTGGTCCCAGCACTGGGAAGCAGAGGCAGGCAGAACTCTGTGAGATCCAGGCCACCCGTATAGCAAGTTCCAGGCCATCTGGGGCTTTAGGGAGACCTTGTCTCAAAAAAACAAAAACAAAAGAAAACAAAACTGCTAAATGAATTTTGACAGGTTTAAGACAAAATTCCAATGATTTTTGAAGTGCCCTAAACATGCTTCCATTTTGTACTGTTTTTATATGAAACAATGTTCTTAGTGTTGATGATAATAAAATCAAAATATTGATGAACTGAAAAATGCTGAAAGCGTTCTATGTCCATATTCCACCAAGACTTAAATCCATATGTGAAAATAACAAACACATCTATTTCATTAGTATGCAATCTGTTTTCAACTTTAATAGTGGTAAAATTATATATATACCAAAATTATTTTAAAGTAAATTTCTTTAGGACTTAATTTCAACAAATGTTTGATTTGTATACCTACTTTACATGCCCAGGATCACGAGAAAAATTTCTTAGTTGAAAAGGAGTTGGGAGAGGAAACTGTGTAAGAAGCCTGACTCTAAAGATACCTGAATATAAAAGCGTTTCTTTTTCTCCAGTAAAACAGTTCTTGAATTTTTTTTTCCCACTCTACTGTTCTAACAATTTATCAAATGATCTCTGCCCACTTCAAAGCAGAGCAGGAATCAAACTTTCAGAAGTAGCTACCAAGTTCTGGACCCCTAAACTGTACTACCTTCAGAGCTCCAAGTCCACACATGCGCGCACATGTGCGGATGGCACAGAGGAGGGACGGGGATGTGGGAGGCAGACGCAGGAGGAGCACGCAGCCACAGAGTATGCATGAAGAACCTTCAAGCAGTGCAGCTCTTCCAAGCACTGAAGGTCTAATTTGAGCTCCTGAAAAGTTTAGATTGAAATTCACAGGGGTACATGATTAAAACAAATGGCTGAGAAAAAGAATAAACAACTGGGTAATCTATCTGACTTTTCAGCTGAACAACTAACCATACCAAAAATCCATGATGTACCTCTTTGCCTAAGAATGAAATGTCTCAGGAAATCAATTATTGCACTCTAAATGAAAAATGAACTCCACCACATTCTTCTTTCTGCAGCATTATGTGAAATCTCCATTACCTTTGTGCCACCTTCAAATAAAAAAGCTACATTTATTTACCTGTCCATGGTTATAGGCAAGGCTGTCCTATTAAATTCCCATGTTATGTCTGCAGGAGGGTTTGATGAAATCTTGCATGAAAATCTAGCAACTCCACCTTCATGGACTTCAGTGGAAACTGGATGGACCTCAAATGCAGAAATAGCTATGACAAAATTGGACAAACTTAGAATAAGCACATGATGACCCACTCAGAAATTACACTAAGCAGCACAGTTTTGCCAGATCTGAGCAGCTCAGGCATAAAATCAATCTAACGTAAGTAGAACAAAGATGATTTAATGAATGATTTTGGAAAAACCAAGGGGTTGGCAAGACGGCTCAAGAGTGCTTACTGCTCTTGCAGAGGACCCAACTTGGTTCCCAGCACCCATGCCAAGTACCTCACAACTGCCTGTAGCTCCAGCTCCAGGGGATCTGAAAGCCTCTTTTGGTCTCTGTGGGTACCTGTATAACACATCCATATTTCCACATACAAACACACACATTCACATAATTTAAATAAATATTTTTAAATTATTTATTTAATAGCCACATACTTAGAAGAAGCATTTCATTACATCAGCACTGACATATTCAATAACATTTTCCTGAGGTAGGATGCATCTCTTTCAAATTTGGCTGTAAATTATTAGG